GCACAGCAGGTTAAGCCGCAGTCACATATGAGCACTGGGTGAACACTCAGCTGCTTCACTTCCAATCCAGCTGCTTGCTAATGTGCCCGGGGAAAACGGTGGAGGGTGGCCCAAGTGCCTGGGCCCCTGCCACCCACAGGAGACCCAGATGGTGTCCCAGATTCCTGGCCTCAGCCTAGCCCAGCCCAGGCCACTGCAGTCATCTGGAAAGTACCCGCAGGTGAAAGTGCCTTCTCTCTCTCGCTCTTGCTCTCGCTCTCGCTCTCTCTGTAACTCTGCCTTTCAAATAAAAAAATATACCTTAAAAAAAATCAGGGCAATCCATATGTCCTGCTCTATGCATTACTTTATGACTGGAGCCTTGGAGCACCTCTCTTCTATTGGCTCATAAGATATATAACAGGCTATTGCGAACCACAGCCAGCCCTGTGCTGCGTAACACTAGGACCTTGTTCTTCCTAACTCTGATAACAGCATTTTGAAAGAAAGAAAGGTGAATACATTGTAAATAGCATTTAATTCCCTACAGGAGAATAATTACTCAAAAATGGTAATTATCCAAAACACTGAAAAATTTAGCTAGCATTAAACAGGTCCTATTCTTTTGATATTAAACAGATGGACAGGATCTAACTAGCATTAGAGATAATGGAAAACTTTCATAGTTGGCATAACATTTTTGTTGAATCAATATTTCAAAATTCCACAAAAGATTATAAAAATCAAAATAACAAATTATAAGCAATTAAACTTGAAAAACATAGAAAGAATGATTACATATTCATAATAATGGGAATTAAAATAAGGTCATCTTCTACTTTTTCACAAAATATTCTTTGTTCTCTGGGTTTTATACATCATCAAAATCAGAATAAAAGAAGTCAAGAACACTTTGGATCATTGCCAAGAATTGCTTTAGGATTTCCAATTCTCTTGTTGCTTTTATGTTAAGCAAGTAAAGAGAATTTGTTGTATTTTTTATTTTTTTTATTTTTTGTTTTTTTTTTTGACAGGCAGAGTAGACAGTGAGAAAGAGAGACAGAGAGAAAGGTCTTCCTTTTGCCATTGGTTCACCCTCCAATGGCCGCCACGGCCGGCGCACCGCGCTGATCCGATGGCAGGAGCCAGGTACTTATCCTGGTCTCCCATGGGGTGCAGGGACCAAGCACTTGGACCATCCTCCTCTGCACTCCCTGGGCACAGCAGAGAGCTGGCCTGGAAGAGGGGCAACCGGGACAGAATCCCGTGCCCCGACTGGGACTAGAACCCAGGGTGCCGGCGCCGCAAGGCGGAGGATTAGCCTAGTGAGCCGCGGCGCCGGCCCGTATTTTTTATTCTCTAAGTTGTTCTCAACCAAATTTTCCTACTTCCCTTTGAAAGGATGAGTTTGCTAGATATAAAAATTTAAGTTGGCAGAGTTCGTTTTTTTTATAGGATTTATTTATTTATTTATTTGAAAGAGTTACACAGAGATAGGAGAGGGAGAGAGGGAGAGAGGGAGAGAGGGAGAGAGAAAGACTGGTCTTCCATCCGTTGGTTCACTCCCCAATTGGCCGCAATGGCTGGAACTGTGCCGATCTGAAGCCAGGAGCCAGGAGATTCTTCTGGGTCTCCCACACTGGTGCAGGGGCCCGAAGACTTGGGCTATCTTGTACTGCTTTCCCAGGCCATAGAAGAGAGCTGGATCAGAAGAGGAGCGGCTGGGTCTTGAACCGGCGCTTCAGGCCAGGGCATTAACACACTGTGCCACAGTGCCGGCAGCAGAGTTAATTTCTTTCAACACTTAATCATTTAAATGTTTAATTATTAGTTTTATTTGAGAGTCAGAGAGAGAGACAGAAATATCTCCCATGTGCTGCTCACTCCTCAAATGCCCACAGCAGTCAAAGCCAGGAACTGAAGACTCAATCCAGATATCCCAGGTGGATGGCAGAGAATCAATTACTTGAATCATCACTTGCTATCTTCCAGGATCTGGATTAGCAGGAAGGTAGAAGTGGGAGTGGAGCCAGGACGTGAATCCAAGCACTCTAGTATGGGATACAGGTGTCCCAAGTGGTAATAGAACCACTTTGCCAAACATCTGCCCTTTCTTTTAAAGTTTCACTCTGCTCTCCTCTTAGTTGCATGCTTTCTGATGAGAAGTCCACTATAATACTTTTGTTACTCTTATTTTTTTTTTTGACAGGCAGAGTGGACAGTGAGAGAGAGAGAGAGACAGAGAGAAAGGTCTTCCTTTTGCCGTTGGTTCACCCTCCAATGGCCGCCGCGACCAGCGCGCTGCGGCCGGCGCACCGCACTGATCCGATGGCAGGAGCCAGGAGCCAGGTGCTTTTCCTGGTCTCCCATGGGGTGCAGGGCCCAAGCACTTGGGCCATCCTCCACTGCACTCCCTGGCCACAGCAGAGGGCTGGCCTGGAAGAGGGGCACCGGGACAGAATCCGGCGCCCCGACCGGGACTAGAACCCAGTGTGCCGGCGCCGCTAGGCGGAGGATTAGCCTAGTGAGCCGCGGCGCCAGCCTTGTTACTCTTATTTTTAAAAAAAGATTTATTTACTTATTTGAAAGGCAGAATTGTTTTAAACTTTTATTTAATAAATATAAATTTTGAAAGTACAGCTTTTGCATTATAGCGGTTTTTCCCCCCATAACCACCCTCCCACCCAGAACCATCCCATCTCGACACCCTCTCCCATCCCATTCTTCATTAAGATTCATTTTTGGCTGGTGCTGCGGCTCACTAGGCTAATCCTCTGCCTGCGGCACCGGCACACCGGGTTCTAGTCCCGGTCGGGGCGCCGGATTCTGTCCCGGTTGCCCCTCTTCCAGGCCAGCTCTCTGCTGTGGCCCGGGAGTGCAGTGGAGGATGGCCCAAGTCCTTGGGCCCTGCACCCCATGGGAGACCAGGAGAAGCACCTGGCTCCTGCCTTCGGATCAGCGTGGTGATCAGATGCAGGTATTTGGGGAGTGAACCAGCAGATGGAAGATCTCTCTTTCTCTCTCCCTCTCTCTCTGCCTTTCCATTGAATGAATGAATGAACAAAGTTTCGGTATTGCTGGCCGGCGCCACGGCTCACTAGGCTAATCCTCCGCCTGCAGCGCCGGCACCCTGGGTTCTGGTCCCGGTCTGGGTGCCGGATTCTGTCCCGGTTGCCCCTCTTCCAGGCCAGCTCTCTGCTGTGGCCCGGGAAGGCAGTGGAGGATGGCCCAAGTGCTTGGGTCCTGCACCCGCATGGGAGACCAGGAGGAAGCACCTGGCTCCTGCCTTCAGATCTGTGTAGTGCGCAGGCTGCAGCGGCCATTGGGGGGTGAACCAACGGAAAAAATGAAGACCTTTCTCTCTCTCTCTCTCTCTCTCTCTCACTGTCCACTCTGCCTGTCAAAAGAAAAATAAATAAGAAGAAAAAAAAGTTTCAGTATTGCCATTTGACAGTTTCACCCTCTGAAAACGACTTTCCCCCAGGGAGAGGGCCTTTGTGTTGAAGAAGATTCTGAAAAGGTCTTCCTGCCAGGGTCCCCAGGACAACTTTCTCAGCTCCTCACAGAATATGATGAGATTCCTGGGGGGAAACTCACAGAAATGTGCCTCCCCATAACCGCAGCTCTCAGGAGTCTCTTACTTCATGCTAGTCCACACTCAGCCTCCAGCAAGCCATCAGAGTCACTGTTCAAGTTTCTACTAGTTCATGGCTCTGGCAGCTTCTGCTCCAAGTAAGCATTGCTTTAGCTATCCTGTGTAGCTGTCTGTCTCTCCAGATTTGGGAATGACACTTTGTCCTCCTACCTCAGTTCTGTGATGCACCTAAGAAAAGGCACTGATCTGCAGTTTGTTCAGCTTTTTATTTATTTGAAAGGCAGAGAAACAGAGGCAGAGATCTTCCACCTGCTGGTTCACTCCCCAAATACCTGCCAACAGCTGGGACTGTGCCAGACTGAAGCCAGGTGTTGGATTTCAATCTGGGTCTCCCGTGTAGATGGCAGGGGCCCACCCCAACCACTGGAATCATCACTCACTGTGTCCCAGGGATGTGCATCAGCAGGAACCTAGAATCAGGAGAGAAGCCTGGACTCAAACCCAGCTACTCCAGTATGGAATATGGGCATGCCAAGTGTCATCTTACCTGCTGTACCAAATGCCCACCCCAAAATGGCCCAAACCCAACTACTGTGGTCATTTGAGGAGTGAACCAGAAGATGGAAAATCTTTCTGTTTCTGTCTGTTTTCTGACTTTCAAATAAATAAAAATAAGTAAATAAAAAATTTTAAAAGAGGTGATTATGTACTGGGGGCACCACTCTCATTAATGAATGCTATTTTCAGAGAGTAAGCTCCTGATAAAATGATAAATTTAGCCCCCATCCTTCATGTCTCATGTGAGCTAGCTTGCCCTTTTGCCACAGTATGATGTAGCAAGAAGGTCTTTTCCAGATATGGTCTCTTAATCTTGGACTTCCCATCCTACAGAACTACAAGATCAAAAAACTTCTATTGTTGACAATTTACCCAGTCTGTGGTGTTCTGCTATAACGACAGAAAGTATATGAAGACAAGTGCCATCAAATATATTCAAATATTATGCAACCAATCTCCAGGATTCTTTTCATCTAACTTAACAGAAACCATACCCACTAAACAACTCCACATTCCACCATGTCTGCAGCTCTTGGCAACCACTATTCTATTTTATATCTCTGTGAATTTGACTACTCCAACTACCATATATTAAATCCAATCATACAGTGTTTAACTTTTGTGATTGGTTTATTTCACTTAGCATAATGTCCTCAAGGTTCATCTATGTTGTGGCATTTGTCAGAATTTCCTTTCCTGTTTAAGGCTGAATAATATTTGAAAATACATCTATAACACATTTTGTTCATTCATTCCTCCATCAGTAGGCACTTGGGTTGCTTTCATTTCTTGGTTATTATGAATTATCTGCTAAGAATGGCACCATTTGAAGGCACCCTTTTACCATGCAATCATCTTGGCACTTTTATTGAAAATCAATCTACTACATAGATGTGGGTCTATTTCTGAATTTTCCATTTTGTTTTATAGATATCCATACTAGTGGCAATACTACACAGTCTTAACTACTGTACCTTTATCGTAAGCCTTAAAATGAGGGGATTTGAATTCCTCAGTACTGTTCTTTTCAAAATTATTTCTGCTAATCTGTCTTCGCATTTTTATGTAATTTTTAGAGTTAGTTTTTTTAATCTTTAGATTTTATTGTCTTCATAACAAAACAGAAGACAAAGATTAGAACTTGATCACTTGCCCGTTTCTCTTATCTCCTCCCAATTCAAAATGTTTACATCTCTTAATAGCCAACATTCTCTTAGACCTGCAGTTGGGATCCACGCACTCAAGCCTCAGCACAATCTTCTTTGTAGTTTTAGCCTTTTTCCGGAAAATCAGCTTAGTCTGTCCCCCATAGCCACTCTGCTTCCTATCAAAACGCCGCTTTCTCTGGGCATACAGAGAGTCTTTGCCCTTCTTATACTGTGTCACCTTGTGGGGCTGGTGCTTGCCACGCTTCTTACAGAAGGTCCGGCACGTTTTCGGAACGTTCACCACGTTGCAGGAGCGCTATTGGCACGGAAAGCTAGAGCTAGTTTCTATCAGAATGCTGGCCGGAATTTTGACTTGGATATCATTGAATTTATAGATTCATTTGGGGGATATTTTGTATCACAATACAGATTGTATCAAAGTACAAAATGTAACAAAATACCTTAGAATAAGTAATTTAAATACAGTAGATATTTATGCTCACAGTTCTCGAGGCTGGAAAGTTTAAGATCAAGGCACCATGGGATTTGCGGGGCGAGAGCCTGTTCCTCGTAAGTGACACAGGACATCTAAATGTTCCTCTAAGAAACACGAATGGATGCAGTTGTATTATCCACAGTCATGAACATCTGAAGTTGGAGAAGTTCTTAGAAATCCTTTCTCTTGTGGCCTGTCCCACGAAACAATTTCTTCAGTTTCACATCTGAAGGTGAAGACTCTTGTTTTGGTAGGTGAGAGAGTGGAGACAGGGAAGGGCAAGGGAAAACAGACACAATGAGTCAGGCTCTCGAGTCAAGTGCAGAAATTCTGCATCACACAAAGACCACTGGGAAACAACAAAAGTCATAAGAAAGATGGCGAGGCATTAAAAAAAAATCAGTCTTTCTCCCAGTAGTTTCTCACCAAGCAGAAAGTCAGTCTCTCTCTGAGAACAATGTGTCCAAAATCCCAGCAATGCATGAAAATGATTGTTATGAGGTGGAGGAAAGAAAATAATGTCGAAGCTACTTGGCTCATTATTCGAACAGCTTAGAGAAGTACTGTTAATGGTCTAATGGAGCAACAAACTTCAAAGATACTTATTTGCTATGTACTTATCTGAACGAGTGACAGAGAAAAGGAGAGAGAGAGAGAGAGAGAGAGAGAGAGAGAGAGAGAAATCTTCCATCTGCTGGTTCACTCCCCAAATGGCAGCAATAGCCAGGGCTGGGTCAGGCTGAAGCCAGAAGCCAGGAACTCCATCCTAGTTGCTCACGTGGGTGGCAGAGGCCCAAGTACCTGGGCCATCTTCTGCTGCCTTCTCAGATCTGTTAGCAAGAAGCTAGATCAGAAGCAGTGCAGGTGGGACTTACACTGGCATTCCGACTGGTATCGTAAGTGGTGGCTTAACCCATTGCACCACCCCTGCCTCATTTCCTTCAGAAGTATTTCCCACTGTCAAATCAGCAGGTTGCACAGGTTGTTGTGCAAATAGCTCTTATGCTATTCTTTTATCCACTCAAAGCACACCAAAGAAGACAAAAAATAGTGCAATGTCAATGCCAAAATAATTTCCTCACTGAAAACGTTTACTGAGCACCTAATATGTGACATGCACTGTTGTAGGCACTGGGTATATCAGCAGTGAAGCAAAGTCCCTGACCCTACATCCTCCTGGGAGAGGCCAACGATAAACCAACAAACATAATACATCCCGCGGTAGCTGCCACAATGAAGCGAAATAAAGCAGTCGGAGGGGTGTCTTAGTCTTTTTCGTGGTGCTATAACAGAATACCGCAGGCTGAGTAATTTATCATGAATGGAAATGTATTTGGCTCACGGCTCTGGAGGCTGGGAACTCGGAGAGCATGGTGCTGGCATCTTGTGAGGATCTTTGTGCTGCCTCATCCCACGGCAGAAGGCAAGAGCAAGGGACGAAGGGCGGGCAAAAAAGGGCAAGAGCAAGAGGGGGCCAAATTCGGTTTAGAACAAACCCACTCTGGAGATAACCAATGACTTTCATCCATTCTAATCCCCTAATCACCTCTGTTGGGCCCCACCTCTCAACACTATTGCATTGGGAATCAAGTTTCCAACCCACGGACTTTGGAGGGCACATTTCAAACCACAGCAGGGGGACTAGAAAGTGGTGAGTTGGGAGTGGTAAAATAGTTTATTCATTTAAGTCGGGGAAATAATCAGTTTAACAGCAGTTGTATACCGATTTATAATTCCATGAAGGGGGCTACGGTTGTAATCATCATCCTTTCTCACCTGGCTTCAGGCTTGGCCGATGTCCAGTGGAGGGCCTGAGGCTGCTGTTGGGCAGGAGTCAGCACACAGAAAGAAGACCTGGACACAGAGAGAAGGAGGGCAGACATGTTGGGACCACTGTCACTTACACGTCTGTTTGTCACCACAACAACCTGTGCAAAGTAATGGCTCCTGCTTCACTTCTGCATGCCGAATCTTGCGAAGATTCATTCCTCTTTTGGCCAGCTTATCCCAGAGCCTTAAGGGCAGGATATCCTGGTAAACCTGCTTCTAGCTTCCCAAAGAGGCACACTATGCACTGTCATGCTAGATTTCCCAGGGGGCCACTGACAGAGCCCTCGAGCAACTGGCATGGCACCCAGAGAGGGTGTGGGATGACTGAGGAGCGTCCTGCCTCGGACCCTAGAAAGTTGTACTGTCCCGGAAATTGGGTCCTAAGAGAAAGTTCGTAAGGGTTTTCCTGCTGGCATGGGACACAGGAAATCTCTGCCCGGCTAAGGTGAATGTGGGTGGCTGGTAGTCTTCATTCTGAACTCAGGTAACGGGGTCAGCAGACGAAGTTTCCCAGAGCACCCTGGTGCAGCCAGATTTAGAAGGAATCTTTTTGTCAGAATGGCCCAAGCACTGCAGAGTTAAAGAAACTGACACGGTTATCTGTGGGGACATTATCTTAGCACAGATTATGAAGACCCCGCATTGTTAAAATGTACAAATTCATTATCAATAGTGGTGAGAATGGCTCCTTAGAAGAAAGAAAATGTACACTAGAATTAAAGTGTGTGAGAAAGATTTATTTTCTCCATCCTTATTCTCCTACTCAAAGGAAGTGCTGAGTTGTACTTAACACTTTGAGATCTTGACCACTTTTTATCTTGGAAAAAAAAAAGCAAGAGAAATGTTTGTCATTCCGGGAGCATAATCGGTTGAGCCAGCGGACAATGACATAGTTAATTCACCAACGGAATTTGTTGCCATAGCTCCAGGGAGGGACAGGGTAGATTAAACAATGGCCTTTTTCACAACCGCAGCTTTCACCACAACCTGCCTGTCCCCACACAACAGGCCATCAGAGCACCAGTCCCAGTCTGGAGCACAGCAATTGTCAACGAACGACAGCCTAGAGGGACAAGTGGAGGCTTGTGGCACACAGAGGAGGAGCACCCAGGAACTTGAATCTCTGCTTACTCCATAACTGGGGCACTCCTATCTCCTCCAAGCTTATCTCCAAGCACTGGGCACAGGGAGCTGGCTTGACCTTTGGCCAAGTGCCCAGAACGAAACCTTAAAAGGGCTCCAAAGGGAAGAGGATCCCAGAGAAGAGAAGGACATGGTGGGCTGCCACCAAGAAGGCACCATGGAAGAAGATACCAGGGACAACTGCACTCCCAAATTCTTACGCAAGGTAATGTCGATGCTTTCTTTGTCAATTTTTGCCTCTGAATATCAAAGTCAGTTGGAAGCATCAGGTCCTAGGTGTCTGCAAATGGAGCAGACCTGTGCCAATTAATAGAGTACTAACAATGGAAATGTTATTCTCTCCATCTTCAGATCATAAAAATGAAAAAAAAAAAGAAATTGTGGCTAATCTATATTTCTGTATCCCCTTACAAAGTAGGTAAGCTCCCTGAGTAGAGTTAAATGATAGGAACAAATTTGCTTTCTAAAAAAAAATATAGTCAAATCAATGCAAGGAAATGTAGATAGTTCAAGGCAAAGGATGAAGCTGTGGGAGTTCAAGGGCCCTGGAGAAATGTTCTCACAGAATGTTTATTATCCTATAGTGGGAGAAATTCTCCTAGTAGAGATGTCACAGAATCCTGATTAGAACATCTATTTCTGAATTCTACTTATGCAACTGTCACATAAGTGACAATATGCACATGGTCTTTTACAGAGGACAGCGAGTGCCCCATTAAACTGTAAGAGTTCTTCTAGAGGGAGAAAGTGTAGGCAGTGGGACCAAGTGACAAGAGGGACTCCAGGTGCTCTGAAGAGATTTGAAGCCAGAGGGAGCTTCCCAGTAACGATGTAATTTCTTCGCCGAACAGTGAGGTGAATTTCACGCCACCACCCTGGGAGTGGGTTCTCAGGCCTCGGGACACCTGCTCTGCGCACACTTGCCTGTGACTGCAGCACTCCTTCGGAGCCTTCCCATGCCCTTTGGGATGGGCATGGATGCCTGGGTGAAGCACCACATTCCCCGAAGAGTATTCTGGGGCCTTACCTAGTGGACGCTAGAGCTACATGACAGATAGAGCATTTCCCCCAACTGATCCCTTTCTCGGTCCCCTCTATGTGATCTCATATTTGGAGAAATCTGCATATTGAAGGCCCATGTGTTTTACCAGATCATGTAATGGAGTTAATGGCATGCCAGAGGACAAAATCACAGTAACATAAAGATCTTAATTGGCTTGATTTTTGATTCTGTAATCAGGTAACCCTTCATTCCATAAAATAGAGTAAGTGTTCCAGTGAGCTGAGAAGAAGAGGTAAGTATCATAGAGAGGAAAGGGCTGAAGAAAGCAGAAACAAGCACTAAAAAGTGATTTTCCTTGTAAGGCAGGGACAGAGTGAAAAAAAAAATAGCTAATTAGTTAACATCAGGTTACTTCAGTTACCTTTTCCGGTGTAAGGATTAAAACAGAGGGAACTTCATTATCATGCCAACGGAAACTGGCCTGTTTGAGAACTTTGGCTCTAATTTTGATTTCTCAGCAGGTCAGATAAACAGCTTGGTGATGTGGACCTGTAGCGTGAGTAGTCTCCATTTTGATTTTTAGCCTGGTCTTTTGGGGGCCTAGTGCAAGAGCTTAGTCCAAAACAATGGTTTCTTTTTTTAAAAAAATATTTTTATTTGAAAGGCAGAGTTAGAGAGAAGCAGAGGCATAGGTAGAGAGAAAAAGAGGTCTTCCATCTGCTGGTTCACTCCCTATATGGCCACAATAGCCAGAGTTGGGCCAATTCGAAGCCAAGAGCCAGGAGTTTCTTCCAGGTCTCCCACTCGGGTGCAGGGGCCCACATTCTTGGGTCATCTTCCACTGCTTTCCCAGGCCATAGCAGAGACCTGGATGGGAAGAGGAGCAGCCAGGATATGAACCGGTGCACAAACGGGATGCTGGCACCACAGGTGGGAGCTCAGCATATGCCACAGCGCCAGCCCCAAAACAATGGTTTCTTTTAATCTTTACTTAACAGGGGAATCAGGAGACATTTATATCATCACTCATTGATTCATGCCTCTGTACCAGATTTAGTTCTTGACGGGTACAGTTATAAAAAAACTGAGATGATCTTTCTATGCTCCAGTCATGCAGAATTAAATCTGTGCAAATATCACTCTGGACTCCTCTACTGTCAGTGAATTAAAAAAATAAACAAAGGCCTCTAATTTCACGGTCTCCTAATAATATCACTTGTACTCACAATCATGACTAGCATGTTTTAGTCTTCAGTGGATGGCATGCCTTGGCTAAGTACTTCCCATGCCTTATTTCATGTGAGTGTGTTAAATAAAAGTGAGGTGGGGGCTCAAGCTCTCGAGCACTCACCTATCCTGCTAATTTGTGCTTCGATTTCTCCCAGTTAAATGGAATGGTCTATTTAACCTCCTTAGACAATGAAAACGTACTACATTCTTAATTGTAATAATGAAACAGTGATGTCATTAACATTTTTATCATGCTTTTCAGTTCTCAGCATGCAATACCTTTCTCACACAGGAGATCTCAACTGCTATAAATTTAACTTTCTGACTGCCAGTCCCCCCCCTTTTTTTAAAAAAAAAAAAAGGATTTTTTTTCTTTCTTTATTTGAAAGTCAGAGTTACAAAGATATCCTCCATCTGCTGGTTCTCTCCCAAAATGGCCACAACAGCCAGCGCTGGGGCCAAGCTGAAGCCAGGAGCTTCTTCCAGGTCTCCCAAAAGGGTAGCAGGAGCCCAAGCACTTGGGCCATCTTCCACTGCTTTTCCCAGGCACATTAGCAGGGAGCTGGGTCAGAAGTGGAGCAGCCGGGATTGGAAATGGCACCCATATGGGATGGCAGTATCACAAGCAGCAGCTTTACTTGCTACAGCACAATGCTGGCCCCTGCCAGCCCCTTTATGCACCATATACTGATAACCACAAGCTGACACATGACCATTTCTGCCTATTACTATTGGCGTTACTAGCTAATAGTAGAAGCACACTGTCATTAAACACTGTATCTGAAAGTTGAGGATAATTATGAATTTAATATTTTAGAGTTCTCAGGGAATAGAAACTTCCTTTAAATGATAGAGTTGGTTATTTATTTTCTGCATATTTAATTTTACATTTGGTTGGCATCTCTTTGGAAACAAAGACTATCTCAAACACTATCTTATTTCCTTTCACCCCAGATGCTGTGGGGGTAGATATTATTTATATTCTCATTCTCACATGAGAAAATTGAAGCTCCCAGAGGTTAAGTGAATTGTCCCAGATACTAATGGTAGAGCTGGAATTCAGATTCCTAATATTAAATTTCACTTTTTCTTTAAATTTATACTATCATTGAATAAGATAGTCACTAACCATATAGGTCAGTTTAAATTTAAATCAATTAAAATTCTGCAGTCATACTAACCACATGTCAAGTGCTCAGTTGCTCCATGTGACTAGTGGCTACCCTGTTTGAACAGTGCAGATACAGAATATTCCATAATCACAGGAAGCTCTATTGACTAACACTGCTTTAAAGCATAATGTCTTTTAGATATGTTGACATGTGTCCTCAAAATACACCGCAGTTCCATTACAAGTAATATGAATTTAAAATTTTGCAGTAAAATCTAATTCATTTGAAGTCTCTTCATTTGCATAGTACCAAGTTAACTTTCATCTGGAAATTAATAATATAGATAAGAGTCAAGGAGACTGTTGAACGCACTTCAGAGACCAAAGATTTTTGAGCATCATCAAATAACTCCAGAGGCACACTTAGATGCAAGCAATTGATATGATAATTACACATCATTTTTATTTATTCATTAAAACAGGGATCCCCTAAGGTCCTCTTGTAGGAAATAATGTGGTTAGCCTAGTTATTTCTAGCAACCCTTCTGCTATTTCAAAGTTCTCTGTAAAATCATTTTATACTACTACTGATTTAGCTTCCTCTCCTCTGGATCATAAAATAAATTGGTAGCATAAAATACGTTCACACTGAATTTTTGACTAACTGAA